AGGCAAGGCAAATCCTGACCAGAAGCAATTCTTCGCGGAACGCACGTTTCCAACTTCGCTGTTTGTTGCACACATCGCTTGGGCCATCAGTGATGGAGATAGACGGCTGCAGGAACGGATTCCGGCGACGCGTGCCCTTCGCAATCTTCTGATCAAACTGGTCAGCTGCATCTTTCTCAGCCAATAGAAGGATTTTTTCTTTTTGGGGATTCCTTGTTCAGTCTATATTACAAAAAATGGACCTTTTCAATTTTCATCACTTTTTCTTGAGTTTAACTTAGCCAATAGAAGGACTTTTTCTGTTTGGGTGTCCTTTTTGCGTCTCTACATTAAATTTCGAGCTTTTTGAACCCTTGTTATCGGGGAAGAGAGGCATCGGGTCCTTCGACCTAGCCTTCCAAATGCTGGACAGTGACGGCCCCCTGGACACATGGGTAACGTTCACAGTTGGAGTGGACAGACAAGTGGACACGCGCCAGCTGTGGACCCCAGGCTTTGCAGCGAGACGCCTGCGTGTCAACTGGACAACGATCTCGCTGGATGAGCTTCTAGCATACAGCCTTGATCCGGCTCAAGACCCCGAGCTGAAGGCGTTGCTGTTGCCAAGCACACTGTGCTTATTGGCCCAGCTGGGGCAGCTGCTGGATGAGGCTGTTGAATCCATGGCGAACTCGAGCCGCGCGCCACCACGCAGCAGCGCCCGAAAGAAATTCATTGCGTTAGCCGTCATGCAGAAACGCGCAGTTGCAGATCGGATGTTCCATGGCAAGGCCTTGGGTTCTGGACCTCACACAAAACAAACTCTAAACCCCAAACGTGTCTGCAATTTAGCCCGGAGCATGCGTTGATGCGTCAGGACCACTTCTTGAGTCAGTCCCTGGAAGCAGTGCTGGGGCGTGATGCGGCTGCAGAAATGCATCATTGGGCTGCAGCGTACAATGCAGTCGTTTCCTGGTCACTTCAGTCTTGGGCAATCTTGTTTTTATCATCTGTTCGGAAGTCGGAAGTGTGCGCTAAGTTTTGTTGAGTTCGGCTTAGCCAATAAAAGAACTTTGGCCTTTTCGGGCTTCCTTTTTTGGTCTCCATAACAAAATGTGTCCTTTTTAAGGCTTCGTTATTGGGGAAGAGGGTTTGTATAGGCACAAAGACTAACCAAGTTCGTCTACTACTTCCACGCAAAGTCAGCTCTCGAGCAAGAGCGCGTGTTCCACGTGTACCTGGACGCCTCCAGCATTGCGAAACGACCGACCGAGCTGATGCACCATGGCTGTTACTGTTTCACCCTGATTCAACTCTTGCTTATTTCACCCTTATTTCACGCTTATTCCCTTATTTCACCCTTATTTCACCCTTATTTCACGCTTATTCCCTTATTTCACCCTTATTTCACCCTTAGTGAACTAAAGGTGAAATAAGGGTTTAGGGGCGATCCAGCAGTGAAATAAGTGTGAAGTGAGGAGTGAAATAATGGTGGAATAAGGATTTAGGGGTGAACAAGCAGTGAAATACGGGTGAAATCAAGGTGCAATAATAACGAAATAAGGGAGATCGGGCAAAAACAAGGGTGAAATAAGGATGACTCTGGGTTGTGCCAAAACTGCCAAGGTATGTGTGGAGTCCGGCCTTGAAACATGGTGCGTTCGCACCTCCTATGGCTGGGAGCCTAGCAATATTGCTTCGAGGTTCACGCGAAGGTAGGACAAACATTAATAGAAATCATGTCTGGAACGGGAGATTGTGCATGAAGGGGAAAGCGTAATATGAGTGTCAGCAAGGGTCGTGTATGGGAAAAAACGGTGGCAGCAATGGTTGAGAACGCAGCTTCTCTGCAGCAATTTGAGGGTCAGGAAGCCAGATCACTGCCCGTTGCCAAGTGTGGCCAAGTGTTGCCAATGGCCAAGTCGTTTACCAGCGCCACGTCATTTATGGCCTACTTTCCTGACTCCGACATCATGTTGGCTGTCATGATCATTGTGCTTTCGACGTTGCTTGTGGAGAGACTCGTTGCCAGGCTGTGGCAGCTGTGGCAATTCATGCTTGGCTCAAGAGAGGCGATGCAAGATCGCCCCTCACGAGGCAAACCAGTAAAGAAGGACACCAAGGAGGTGAAGGAACTCAAAGCCCAAGTAGAAGAACTCCGTGGGCTTTGCCATCGGCAGTATGAGGGTAGCCAGGCAGTGTTTGTGACGAATTCTGGCCGAAAATGGCACAAAGATTTCCATTGCCACCATCTCCGGAACTCAGAGGATGTGTGGGAGTATGAGCCATGTGTCACATGTGCCCGTGTCCGTGTTCCTTAGATTTCGTAGCCTCTGGATTTCTGCACAAAGCCAAGAGGAAGGCGAAAATAATTGAAGTTTTTGCTTGCAGTTTTGAAGCATTCCTGCATGACACAGCGGGCAGCGTTTGTTGACACCTGTTACTGTTGGCCCAAACAAAGCTCATGATCAAGGGCTGTTGCTGTACCTGCATTCACTACCATCAGGTTGCTAGTACATAGGGGACCGGTCATAGGGGACCGGTCGATGATTGAGTGAATTGCAGGTTGTTGTCCAGCGGTTTTCACATGCAACGCCCTTTGTGATTTGTAGAGATTACTGCTATGGAGTCAGACTCCTCAAGCACTGCGTCCTCCTATGCGCTGGACACTCAGCCACCAAGCGATGCCCCTGCATGGACCCAGTCCAGCGAAACCTCTTTGCTGTCAGAGAACCTCCAGGTCCGGGCCAACAAGGGTGAGAAGAAGAGATAAGGGGGGAAAATGGAGATTGTTGTTGTTTTTGTTTTTTTTCCATGGAAGAATGGTTTGGAGACATACGGTTCAAATAAGGCTGGAATAAGGGCTTAAGGGTGAAATAACGGTGGAATAAGAGTTTCGAATGTAATGTAGGTAACGTGGGTCAACAAAAATAAGAGCGGAATAAGGTTTTCGGGGTGAAATAAAGGTGGAACAAGGTTTGGGCTCGACAAGTAAGGGCGAAATAGAGGTGGAATAGGGGTGAAATAACGGTGGAATAAGGGTTTCGAATGTAATGTGGGTAATGTAGGTCAACAAAAATAAGAGCGGAATAAGGTTTTCGGGGTGAAATAAAGGTGGAATAAGGTTTGGGCTCGACAAGTGAGGGCGAAATAGAGGTGGAATAGGGGTGAAATAACGGTGGAAGAAGGGTTTCGAATGTAATGTGGGTAATGTAGGTCAACAAAAATAACAGCGGAATAAGGATTTCGGGGTGAAGTAAAGGTGGAAGAAGGCTTTCGGGGTGAATTAAAAGGTGAAATAAGGGTTCGATAAGTAAGGGTGAAATAGAGGTGGAATAAGGGGCTTAGGGCGGCGAAAAGCAGTCGAGTGAGGGCTTCGGGCGTGATAGGAGACAGGACAAAGGGTGGAATCAAGATATCAGGGGGAAATACAGGTGGAATACAAGCAGAATAGGGGTTTCAAGGTGAAGTACAGGTGGAATACGGTTTGCGCCAGTCTCAAAACATGTTTCTGCCATATGTTTTTTTGAAACAATGTGTTTCCGGTGTAAGCAGGAATGGTTTGCCGCACACCCAAAGAGCGAGCTGGCGAAGACGGGGCACATCGCTCAAGTCACGTGGAGACTGTTGATTTCCAAGATTGGCGCTGCAGATCTGCAGGACACATCGCTTTCATTGTGGCAACTTGGAGATAGGGTTTTTCTTTCGCTTCTCCCTGAGGAGTCCATGCTGGGACAAGTCCGACGGACGTCTTCAACGTGCACAGGCACCTTTACATCTGAAATGGCGGCCGCCGTCATCCAGAAAACTATCAATGATTCGAAGGCATTGCAGGCTGGCATCTTCTTTCGCCCGACCATAGCCTATGCCGCTGCCTCAGTAAAAGATTTCTAGTCCGCACAGAACATGTGAAACATGCCCAGTTGTCAAAAGTGTTTTGATCATTCCTCTAGGAAATCAACCAGCGACTTCACCAGATCATTTTCGATCATTCCACGTGGTGCCAGGACATGGGGGCTGCCTCATGCCGCTGCAGTAGGGACACACAACTCCATGGCACGCTTTCCTGCAGGACGCCAACGAGGACGCGTATCATCATCCTTGTTTGTTCGGGGACGTCACTTTGGCAATCCCAGACGAAGCCTTGCGAAGTGGCGAGACTTTTGCAGCAAGGCTGCGCGCGGTCGACGCGGCCTGCTTTAGGCAAACCCAGTTTTGCTTCACCTGCAAGAAGGAGTGCAGCTTGTGGAAAGAGGACTTCCAGACGCAGCTGGAGTCGGCAGGACTACCATGCACCGACCAGAGTCGTGCTGGTCTCCGCCGGTTCGAAGAGGGTCCAACCTCGAGCGTATTCCTGACACATGCAAAGCTGCACGTGGAACGCCAGACACCACTCATAATTCTCGAAAATGTCCCAGCAACTCGACCGTTTTGCTCAATGGTAATTAGAGCCGGGTAAGAAAAGATGGAAGAAGCATTTCAAGAAATAAGGGCGAAATAAGTGTGGAATAAGGGTTTAAAGGTGAAATTAATGGTGGAATAAGGGTGGAAAAAAAGAGATTTTGGGGGAATGTCGGTGAAATAGCAGCGGAAAAGTGATTTAGGGGTTGAAATAAGGGTGACATAAGGGTTTACAGGTACAGTGAAGGTGAAGTAAGAGTGGAATAATGGCTATGGAAAAAGGGCTTAGGGGTGACACAAGGGTGGAAGAAGGGATTCGAGAAAGAAAGGTGAAATAAGGGAGAAATAAGGGCGAAATAAGGGCAAAACAAGGGCGAAATAAGGGCAACATAGGATTCATATAACGGTTTGAAGGTGAGCCAATGGTGGAATAAAGGTCGGCTAAACCAGGTTTTCGGGGGAATAGCGGTGGAATAGTGCCGGAAAACTGGTTCAAGGGGTGAAATTAAGGGTGGAGCAAAGTGTCACGTGGGTCGAAAACAGGTAGAATTAGTAGAATAATGATTTCCCCTCCCCTCTCCCTGTGTCGCCGGTGTGAATTTTCCTCAAACATTGCCCAGGACCTCCATATGGGTATGGTGCGGCAGCTCTATGGCCGGTACTACGAGCTCTTCCCCATCCACATTGAACCCAAAGATGTCGGACACGCAGGCGTTGCGAGGTCCTGAGTCTATGTGGTCATGGCCCGCTATGGCAGTGTGGTTCAAAGCTATGATATCCACAAGATGTTCCGCCTGGTGAGTCGCACTATGCAGGCCGTGTCTCTCTTAACGGTATTTGTAATGTGCTGCAGTTCCGTAAGAAATGGTCAGAATTTTCCCGACACAGGCTACTAGGTCAATGTGGTGCCCCAAGTCAGTGCTTGTTTTTTGGGCGACTGCGTGATTGGATTTACAGGCTTGGGTGCACACAAAGCCCGCGGACTACTTCGTGGCAGACCGTGCTGACCAACGCCTAGAGGCAGAGCACGTGGCAAGAGTTCGGAAGAAACAACTCAAGCCATACGCGCCCCGGCCTATATTGTCGTCAGTTTTTACGCAGCACTGTGTGTGTGTGTGTCTGTGTGTATTTTGTGTGACAATGCTTAGCTTGAAAAACTGTGTCTGCCAGGCAACAACTTGGTTACTTGCTCAATGACAGGGAGAACAGGGCGATCAAGACGATCAAGCAGATCTATTGGAAAAGGTACCGCCGGAGTGCTGACCGCGACGAGCAGCTCATCGCCTTTTTGGGCGACAACCCTCGCCAACGCCTTTGCTGGAGTGGAGCGAGTGGACGGATCCCCACTCTCAGAACAAATTCCAGTAGTGGGAAGATGTACAGTTTGCAGCGCCGCCGCTGGCTCTGTTGCCGGGAGCTGCTTTGTACCTTGGGGTTCCCGGTGGTGCCGGAGGTCGCGCTCAGCATGGGGGTCCCAGTAGTCCCAGTGCGCGACCGCGCACGTGCAAAGGAAATCTGTGGAAACGCCATGCACTTCGGCTGCGTTTGCGTGATTCAGTTTTTGGCAATGGCATGCTTCTCACCCAGGAGGTTGTCAGCCAGAGATGGCCGTGTTCCGCTTCCCAATGACGAGTCCGAGTCCGAAGACTGACCAGCCATGCAGACAGGCTGGATCGAATCTACCGCCCTCGTGCCACTCCAACGTGTAAGGACCCGCTCAGCTTAAGGTCTAGTTTAGCTGCAGTTTGTTCCCCAGTCACTTGCCAACCTTAAGCCTGTGGAGCCTGCAAACCTGTAAATTTGTCGCTCAGCAGACGGGTTTCAAACAATTTGGAGACGGCCCCCAAGTGCCCAAGACCACTTGAGAACAATTGCTCCTTACTTAAGACTAAGCTTCGGAATCTCCCTCAAGTGGTTTTGAAGTCATGCTCGGCCCTGCGCCCTGGAGACTGGAGAGCCCTGCGCCAAAAAGAGGCTCGGGAGAGGCAGATAGTGGAGAGCCAGAGGGGTGTAAGGGTAGGTAGCGGACAATGAGGCCTAAATAAGCGCAAAATAAGGGCCAGAACTATCATCTATTTAACGCTTATTCAGACGTCATTATCCACTGCTTGAGACTTCATTCAGCAGCTATTTTGCCGTGGTTTGTATCACCCTCCTGGCGCCCCATGAGAACAGAGCGCATGCTCATGTTGCCACGCATGTAGTCCGGTGAAGGGGTGAAGGCTGAGAGGTGAGTTAAAGGCGAAATAAGAGTGGAATAAGAAAATAATGGTGGAATAAGGGCTTAGGGGGGTGAAATAAGGGTGAAATAGTGATGGAATAAGGGCTTAGGGGAGTGAAATAAGGATGAAATCATGGTGGAATAAGGGCTTAGGGGAGTGAAATAAGGGTGAAATCATGGTGGAATAAGGACTTAGGTGTGAAATAAGGGTGAAATCATGGTGGAATAAGGGCTTAAGGGAGTGAAATAAGGGTAAAATAATGATGAATAAGGGCTTAGGGGAGTGAAATAAGGGCAAAATAATGGTGGAATAAGGGCTTAGGGGAGTGAAATAAGGATGAAATAATGGTGGAATAAGGGCTTACTGGGAGAACAGAATGCTCATGTTGTCACGCGTGTAGTCCGGTGAAACACGGGGACGCTTGCAGCCATGACACCGTTCAAATGCTTCAGATGTGAGGACATGTAGCCAAATGCAGTTGCAAGCGCCGTCATTCACACACATTTGTTTCTTTTTCAACTGAACCGTTTCGGCCCAGCGGTGAATGGAGGCCTCCGAGTCCTACTGTTGCAGGTGGGGCGAGCTGGACTCATGCCGGTCCTGAAGAGGCCAGTGGCAAAGTCTACTGGCAGACCTCGTCCTAAGCCACTGGCCAGCGCAAGGACAATAAGGCGAAAGCCTGCAACAGCTTCACGGAAGCGGCCTTCGAGTGAGGTGGCCCACACACGGCCAAGACAGCCAAGGCAATTATCAGTGGAGCGGACTCCCCCACTATGTTCGTCGTCATCAAGCTCAGACAGTGACTCAGTATCGATGACGAGGCGACCAGCGCCGACAGTTGCAGGCCCACGTCCAATAGCACACTTTGATCCTGCCGGGCCTCCTCCACCTATTCCTGTAGATGTTGGACACGCAGCAGTCGCACGCGGTGCTCCAGGAGGCCCTCCGCCGCCGACTGTGCCTACAAGACCTTCCCGATCATATCCACCTGTGCCAGGTCCGACCCCTGTACATGTTGGACACGCAGCAGTCGCACGCAGGATCCAGGAGGCAACTGTGCCTACAAGACCTTCCCGATCGTATCCACCTGTGCCAGTTTTCCGACCCAGCTAAGATGCCGCCAGCGCAAAATCAACAGTTTCTTGTGTAGAGTGGGCAGTCTTGCTTCGTGTTCTGCGCAGCTGGTACTGTTTGTTTGCGGGCAATCACATGTTGGTGCACGCAGTGTTCCAGTGCCAAGCAGCGGCACAGGGTAGCCTCTCCGACTCCCCGCCATGGCTCCTAAGGCGAAAAAGGACAGCCCTGGCGACGTCAAGGCTAGTACTGCCGATGGTGACAAGGCAAAAGGGAGCGATCTGAAAGGCAAGCCGAAAGCTGCCGCGAAAGCAGTTCCAAAAGCAGGCCCAAAAGCAGGCATGAAAGCAGCCCCACGACCGCTCAAGCCAGAGACGAAGACAAGGACTCGCGTGTGTGAAGAAGGGTTCACGTGCTGGTAGGTGCAGTTTGACTCAAGTTTGTGCACAGACCCCCCTGTCAGGACCCCAGTCGAGCCGGAGAGCAAGGACAAAAAGGAGAGGGACGGCAAGGTTAAGAAGCCCGTCACGGACCAGGACAGCAGGCCCGAGAAGCGGGCCAGGACCCTGTCTGACGACAACCTCCGGAAGCCGCAAAGCAAGATCCTGAACACAGAGTCAGAGGACGAGTTGTGGTACCCCGACGGGACCTGCGTGGACGTTGGGCCTCGCGGGGGGAGCGCCAGTGGAACTGGTCGGAATCTAGTCAGCCGAAAGCAAGCAAGTCAATCTTCCCTGCTTTACTTACTTGTAGTTGCTGTTTCATGCCCGTGGGGCCCACGAAGGAAGATCAAGAGTGAAGTGTACAACTCTCAACGGACCATGAAGCAGTTTGTTGCTCCATGGACGCAAGCAGGGAATCAGGGTGGAAAGCACAAAATGATGCTGGAATAACGGTTTTGGGGTGCAACGCGTGTAGAGACACGGTGGAATAAGGATTTTGGGGGTGGAATAAAGGTGATAAAGAAAGGTGGAACAAGGCTTTGGAGGTGAAATAATGGGTGATATTTTGGATGGGGTGAAGGCTGAGAGGTGAGTTAAAGGTGAAATAAGAGTGGAATAAGGACTTAGGGGAGTGAAATAAGGGTGAAATAGTGATGGAATAAGGGCTTAGGGGAGTGAAATAAGGGTAAAATAATGGTGGAATAAGGGCTTAGGGGAGTGAAATAAGGATGAAAATGGTGGAATAAGAGCTTAGGGGAGTGAAATAAGGGTGAAATAATGGTGGAATAAGGGCTTAGGGGAGTGAAATAAGGGTGAAATAATGGTGGAGTAAGGGCTTAGGGGAGTGAAATAAGGAATTAAAAGCTCAAATAAGGGTGCAGGGTGCTACGCGACTGCCAAGGACAGCCATTTGCAACAGTGGCTCGAGGGACTGGAGTCCGAGTACCTCAGTCCCAAGATGCTCAAGCATGCCTCCAGAAAAACCCTCTGGTCACTCTTGACCTTTCTGACCGGTTGGGCTCCGGAGGATGCCAAAGTGGCTGGGAACAGAGCCGGGTGATTAAGGCGCTCAAGGCTGGGCACTCATGAGAGTCATTTCACAAGATTGAGAATCAGCACGCATTTCGGTTCACAGTAAGTGGAAGAGGCTCAGAGGCATGTGCAGTACAACAACTTACCTCAGACAAACACTGGTGCAAGCCCCAAATGCCTCCCGTTCATGCTTGGCCAATTTTCCCAAAGCCCCACACACACACCCACGCATCTCAGCCCCAGACAGAGAACAAACGCAGGGGAAGGCCTTTGGATCGGACCGCGTGGACGGGTGTGGAAGTCCGCCAGTTTCTTCGGTTGCAAATGGCAGCCATCGTGGGAAGCTGAGCTGCGAGTGATAGGGCAGCGAGCCCCGTTTTTCACACGACACTCTGCATTCCCTACCTGATTCTGAGGCCAAGGGCCAGCTTAGCCCAGACAAATTGGGCGGAATGGCTTTCAAGCTGCCTGAGCACGATGGAAGTGGACGACCTGCTCCACTACCTCGACACATCCAACACTTCATAGATACTCAGGAGCTGTCAGCAGCTTATGTAACGGTAACGAGAGCGGGCCGTGCTGATGCAGTCCGAAATTCCCGTTCTGAGGCTCCCTCCCAGCAAGATGAAGGCAGTGAGCTTACCAAAGGAGGCCACTGTGAAGCCGGCAAAGCCATCAGGTGTGGCTGCGGCAACCTGCCTTCTAAAAGGCATGAAGATTTCAGGACAGGGTTTGAGTCTGCGTGGGTAACAATGCTTATCGCGGAGCAAAGGCTTAAAGTGGTGTAAGCTTCGTGATTCAAACCTTAACGCCGTTAGGCCACTAGCATTGACGGAGTAGGGGTTGAGAGGTGAATTAGAGGTGACATAAGGGTGGAATAAGGGCTTACGGTGAAATGTGAGTGGAGAAAGGGCTCAGGGGTTCAAAAAAGGATGAAATAATGGTGGAATAAGGATTTTGGGGGTGAAATAAAGGTGATAAACAAAGGTGGAACAAGGCTTTGGAGGTGAAATAATGGGTGAAATTTTGGATGGGGTGAAGGCTGAGAGGTGAGTTAAAGGTGAAATAAGAGTGGAATAAGGACTTAGGGGAGTGAAATAAGGATGAAATAATGGTGGAATAAGGGCTCAGGGGAGTGAAATAAGGGTAAAATAATGGTGGCATAAGGCCTTAGGGGGTGAAATAAGGATGAAATAATGGTGGAATAAGGGCTTAGGGGAGTGAAATAAGGTAATGGTGGAATAAGGGCTTAGGGGTGAAATAAGGGCGACATAGAGTTGAATTAAAGGTGAGATAAGGGTGTAGGGTGCTTGGTGACTACCAAGGAGCGATTCATTTATTCATGGGCAGAATCTAACATGGCCCTGTGCAGGACCAGCCGTTCCTTCGATTCCTGCTGTCAAAAAGGCTACCGCGACCCAGCCAACGGTCCATGCGATTCAGGCGGTGGACCCTCGCACGATTCCGTCTGGCAAGACAGGTTACACTCCACCAGATTCTCCAGTGTCAGATGGCCCCGCATCGCTACCCACAACCCCCAAGACCCCGATGAGGAAGCACCAGAAGAGGCCAAGCAGCCCGGGCCAAAGCCTCACGCCGAGGAGGCAACGCAGCTGATCCCGTGGAAGGGTGGAAAAGGAGAATACGGGTGGAAGAAAGGGGGAATAGCAACGAAGTAAGGAAAACATGGGCAATGGAAATAGAAGTGGAATAGAGGTAGAGCAATAATGTCATGAGAGTCTTGTCAGTGTGGAATTCTGATGCGTGTGGTTCTTTATGTTCATTGTGGCCAAACTGGACGACGCAGGGCGAAAGAGTTGAGGGCAACGTGCAAGAGCATGCCAAAGAGCACAGCCGCGTCGGGACTTTCACAGAGATCG